TCCTTCAAAGCCCAAGTCAAATGGAAAGAGACAATGAGTAGGCAGCTGAGACAGCATGCGCGGCAGCCCTTTGGCTCATCTGTCTTTGCTCACTCCTCACAGTCTGAGAGGTTTCCCTACCACTGAGGAACAGGCCCGGGGATGGTGTCTTCCACAGCAAGAGAGCATAAGTAAATACTGGCAAGGTTTACAAATTCAGGGCTCTTGAAAAAACGTGTGATACATACATTCGTCAGACTTGGGGCTCTGGTTGAACACAAGGAAGGAAAGCAGTGGGTGTTTATCAGAGCCGGAGGGTCATCTTTCTGTGGAGGGCAGCCATAGTGAAGGGGAATTTCAAAAGATGTGGTCCATAGGCACTAATATCCAAATGGATGATGGAATGGGCATTATTCTTTAGCATCCTGAAGGGATTGGGTCCTTAGCACACATAATAACCATGAATTGTGAATACATTTTGTTAAAATCAAGGGATGATGAATCATAAAATGCACCAAATAAAACACAAAAAAAGGACCTAATCCATCCCTCTCATTTTGCAGATGAGGTAGGGACCTAGAAGAACAGAGTGATTTGCCCAAAATAATAACTAAAATTTGAGATTTCTAGACAAAGCTGGAGGCCAAGACACCTAATTCCACTCCATTCTTACATACGAATGGCAATATTCATGCTGTGCCATAGACAAACAAGAAAGCATCCACAAGGTAAATAGACTGCTACCTGGGGAAATCATTCATGGGAAATGTTTCATCATGCTAGCTGTTATAAAGATATTATAAGGAGGGTCTGCGAACAAGAATCAATGTGTCATATACTATTCTTGCTGGAATGCCCATTAAAAATGAAGCCATGTTCATTTGAGTTGGCTGTTTGCTTCGAATATTCTGTGCTTTCTTATTCAGATGCCTTCTTCAGTATCTCTGGTTATTTTCACACAAAAGAACACCCCATCTTCAAACTTTTCCCCAGGAAACATATGGGCACACTTCTCTTTCATTTTAAGAGACACATTAAACTTGATGTGTCATAGAAAAGACATCTCGCATTTTACTACCTGTGTTAAGACTTGGCCAATAATTTCATTCCATATTGACCTATCCCTTTCCAAATCCCCGCGCATATGTTAGTATTTTATCAAAAACTATGTAAAAATTATGGTGCAATTCTTTCCAGGTGGATATTCTTGCCATTGCGCATTCAATCATTACTGTGGAAGAGATACAGGAAGCCCAGATGAGCCGACAACAAAGGTTGGAAGAGTTAGACCTATGCTATCATGCAGAAGCAGGGCCCAGAGAATTAGAACCCTGGTGTGTAGCATGAATCTTAGAGGTACTTATTAATAAAATTAAACCTGAGGCCAGTTATTGGGGTGAATGCAGGAAGATCAGAGAAGCAGAACAAGCCACAGCTACCTCACCTTGCCAGTTCCTCAGCTCATCCTGCTTCTTCAGACTGGAAGCCTCTGAATCCTTATCCGAATGAATCTCAGCTGAACTGCTTCTTGAAAGCCTGAATGCTTAACCAGGCAAATGCTGCTAGTTTCTGGTCCTCATGCCTTATATACCTTTCTGCTTTCTGCCATCACTCCCTGGGATTAAAGACTCACTTTCTGGGATTAAAGGCATTGAGTCACCATGCTTGGCTGTATCCTTGAACACACAGAGATCCAGGTAGATCTCTGCCTCTGGAATGCTAGGATTAAAGGCATGTGCTACCACTGCCTAACCTCTATGTTTAATATTGTGGCTGTTCTGTTCTCTGACCCCAGATAAGTTTATTGGCGTGCACAATATTTCGGAGAACACATTACCACCACACTGGTGTCTAAAGGACTTGGTGATTCCTGAATGGTGATGATTCTTTTAATAGTGCAAAACAACTAATTAGGTCAGGGATGTCTTTGTTTCTGGATAATTTTAAATACAGTAGGAAAAACAATTCTTTTATAGTGTGTCTTCTTAAGAGCTAGACAGAGGAAAAAGCCTTGGGGTCTTGTTGCTTTGTAAATGCGAGGCTCAGCCCTTCATTTTCACCTCTTATGTGAAAAGCAGCTTTGAGATGATTGAGTGATTTAAATAATTGGGAACACACACAAGACAGAAATGCTAAAGGGTGATGTTTTCAGTGGGTCAGAGATGAAACGCTTCACAAGGAAAAGGGGTCAGAAACCCTTGCAGGAGAAATTGTGTATTCACACATGGCTTGAAAAAAACAATAATGCCCACCCTGGCTGTATCATAAAGTTTCCTCTGCATTCTGCATGAGATGGCTGGTATTGCCCTGGAAGTAGTGTGCAGAAAGCAAAAAACTATCCCTTCAAGTATCAGGACCAGGCAACCATGGCAATCCCTATTCGATAAGACCTTACATCCCCCACGCAGTCTCTGAACGTCTGCTGTGCTGTGTCCAGTGGGAGAAACCTCTGAGGTCCAAGATCAATGGTCAGCCCAATGTAATTTAAAGGTACAGTAAAAATATATTTTAGGAAGAAAATGGCAGTAAGAAATGTGTTCCCTGTGCCTGAGTCACATAAATGTGGGAAGAAATCTGATGCAAGAAGATAAAATGCCAACTCCAGTAGCAGAAACCAACGACCACATCAAAGCTTGTCGTTTGTCTCTGGGTTGAAATCATGGCAGGCAAGCGGATCTGAAGTGCGGACCGCTGATCACTTTATGGGCACTGGAGAATGTTTTCAAAGCAATTTATATTGCACAACAGCTACTTACTTTAATGGGATTTGTGTGGTTCGGGCCCTGTAACCTTTAGAAAATTGAGAAGAAGTATAATTGCAAAAGCCACTAAAAGCTGTTTTGCTTTGATAGCCAGGCCTATGAGAAGCAGTGAAATACAACTGTGGTGTTTGTCTGCGTTTCCTTGGGTACACTCAGCTTTAACTGAAATCAGGACAGCAGCGTCCTTCTAACATGTGCCCTGTTAAGTGGCTCAGATACCACTTAGCTGAAGACACGGTTGCAAAGCATATGGAGCTTCACTGTCACAGTGACCAAAGCCAGGTTGAGAAGCAGGCCCACCCTTTCTTAACATCACGGTCCTTCGCCACTGATTCGCATCCACTGTGCAGAGAGACGAGAGCTCTGACAAATACACAACTATTCAGTCATTATCGGTCAATGATCACCTTAGAGCTGCCAGGCCCACACCATATGGTGAAATTAGACACGGGTACTTTTCCTTTTCCTGTCACGTTGGCATGGATTTAGTTTGTTTTTAGTCAGGCACCGGACTAAGTCTTGCAAAAATAATATTAAAACACACAAAATGTGATTATTCTTTCAAGAAAAAAAAAAAGAATGTTCTAAAGACATGAAAGCGGGCCTGGAGAGATGGCTCTGTGGTTAACAGCACATACTCTTCTTACATAGGGCCGGAGTGGCAGGCCCCACATCATAACCACCCGTAACTTGAGCTCCATGGAGTCTGATGCCCTCTTCTGGCTTCTACATATCCACAGGCACCTGTACTCACAAGCACAGGCACCACACACACACACACACACACACACACACA